ACAGGCAATATTACTGAGCACCGATAAAAGAGTGAATCGATATTTGTAAGATACGATTAGTTGATTCATTCACCCTAGGTATTCAATATCGTCGCCCGGCAAAGCTGCTCATGGCCCATGCAAAATTCTAATATATGGGATATATTGATCAAGAAAACTAGCTGTAAAACTAGGCTTTTTATAGAACAAACTTTCTATTTTCACTCCACTTGTTTACCAAGACAAATCAGTTTAGATGCGATGGGTCTGATATCAATTGTAATTATTTTATTAGCAAACAAAGCGGTTTTCTTTTCTTTTCTTTTTTTTTTTTTTTCGATATTTAATAAAGTATATCAACAGCATTTTGGGCCATACCTAAAGAGGTAAGACGAACCTTTTACAGCCTCGTTTATTAATATTTTAGTTTTTTAGTTGTTTACGAAAATCTTGAAACAACAATCATTTTAATTTCATCAAATGTGCTTTTTGTAGGCGGCTGATTTGAGTTACTCCGTTTCCGGTTGGTCCCTTTCCAGCCATTTACAATAAGGTATAATGAAAACGGCAACAATTTGCTGTTTTCCCCGCCGTTAACAGTAGGTCGAAAAGAAAGAGAAAGAAGTTGGAAGTCTTTCGTGCTATCCTAGGAAAGTCACAATATTTGCTGCCAAAATGGTTAACAAAAAAAGAGAAATCACGTTTTTTCCCACCAAATATCATGGGAACAGCTTTCGACTCAGTTGTCTTGCACTGAACCAGGGTGCCAATATAGAGCAAAATGAAATGAAGCAACACGAATTTTTTCGAAAAGTATTATTGCAATTGGAAATTTCAATGTCTATGGTGTGAGAAAAAAAGCAGTTACTTGAACTGATTCGGGAACCCTCAGCAACTCGCGATCGTGCACCTAGTGCATCCCGTGCTTTAGCGTGCAACGTCTATCGAAATATCAAGAGACTGTTAGTTTCAGAGGGCATTAAAAAGTTGCCCCGGGCAAAAAGGAGGGCAAGTAAGCAGTCACTTGTTAGCAGATGCAGTTTAGATGACCCCGTTCCCATATTGCCTCTTGAGACACGAATCAGTCACTGCAAGTTATGCAATTAAAATATTTTAATTAAGAATTCGTGTCGCCAATTACTGTTACTTTTTTAATATTAACGTAGTTTTTTAAAATTAATTTCTTTTATTTTTTTTTAAAAAAAAAAAATTTTGTCTTCAGTTTCTACGGTTGACCTTTCCTCTTAGCAACTGGGCCAAACGGCGCTAAACCAGCCCAAGAAACTCCCACGATGCAAAGGTACAAACACTGTAGCTAGGTAACTCTCCCTAAAACAAGGTTTTAGAGCTTAATAGAACCACCGTTTGTTCCCGTCCAAATCCTTTTAACCACAAAAGGCTACGATCCCAAAATGGCCACTACTAGCTAAAATATCAAATCGGCCACCAGTAGTCAAAATCCTAAAACGACCACTAGAAGACAAAATCCTAAAACGGCTTCTAGTGGCAAAAATCGCAAATGAGCAAGTAGTGGCCAAAATCCCAAATCGGCAACCACTGGCTAAAATCACAAATCTGCCACTAGTGCGGGTCAAAATCCCAAATTGGCCTCTTCTAGCTAAAATCACAAATCTGCAACTAGTGGCCAAAATCCCAAAACGGCCACTAATGGCCAGAATCGTAAATGGGCCACAAATAACTAAAATAAAAAGTCTGCCACTAATGTCCAAAATCCCAAATCAGCATTTAGCTGCAAAAATCCCAAATGGCCACTAGTGACCAAAATTGAAAATCTCCCACTACTGATAAAAATCCCAAATGGGCAACCAGTGACAAAAATTAGAAATCTGCCACAAGTGATCAAAATCCCAAATAAGCCACCAGTAATCAAAATTAAAAAATCTGCCACTAGTGGCCAAAATCGAAAATCGACCACTAGTGACCAAAATCCGAGATCTACCACTACTGGCCAAAATCACAAATCGGCAACTAGTGGCCAAGTCAGAAATCTGCCACTAGTGCAGTGGCTAAAATCGCAAATCTGCGACTAGTGGCAAAAATGACAAATCCCCCACTAGTGGCTAAAATCCCAAATCGGCCACTAGTGCCCAGAATCCCAAATCGGCAACTAGTGCCCAAAATCGCAAGTCTGCCACTAGTGGCCAAAACCGCAAATCGGCATCTAGTGGCCAAAAGAGCAAATCGACCACTAGTGGCTAAAATAACAAATCTGCCATTAGTGACCAAAATGACAAATTTGCCACTAGTGGCCTGAATACCAAAGCGGCTACTAGTGGCAAAAATCGCAAATCTGCCATTAGTAGCCAAAATCGCAAATCGGCCCCTAGTGGCCAAAATGGCAGATCTGCCACAAGTAGCCAAAATCGCAAATCTGCCACTAGTGGTCAAAATCCCAAATCGGTTGCTAGTGGCCAAAATCGCAAATCCGCCATTAGCTAGTGGCCAAAATCGCAAATCTGCCCCTAGTGGCCAAAATGGAAAATTTGCCACAAGTGGCCAAAATCGCATCTGCCACTAGTGGCAAAAATCCCAAATCGGTTACTAGTGGCCAAAAATCGTGTATCTGCTACTAGTGGCCAAAATTGCAAATCTGCCCCTAGCCCCTAGTGGCCAAAATCGCAAATCTGCCACTAGTGGCCAAAATCCCAGAATTGACCACTAGTGGCCAAAATCGTAGATCTGCCACTAGTGGTCAAATTCGCAAATCGGCCAATAGTGGCCAAAATCGCAAATCTGTCACTAGTGGCCAAGATCCCAAATCGGAAACTAGTGGCCAAAATCCCAAATACTACATACTGGTGGCCAAAATATCAAATCGGTAGCTACTGGCCAAAATCCCAAATCTGCCACTAATGGCCAAAACGGCAAATCTGCCTCTAGTGGCAAAAATGGCAAATCTGCCACCAGTGGCAAAAATCGCAAATATACATACATACATACATACATACATACATACATACATACATACATACATACATGCATACATACATACGTTACTTGACCACTCCCCAGGGAGGCTTTTCAGGGCCAATTCCCACCCATCCCACCCCAGGGGAGGACATCCACTACACAGTAATCTCGTGCGCGGGAAATTAACGTCTCCTACCCCTAACCCTGCAGGAGACGGGGCCTACGGATTATTCGTCCTTAACCGAGAAACTGCCACTAGTGGCTAAAATAGCAAATCGGCCACTAGTGGCTGAAATAGCAAATCGGCCACTAGTGGCCAAAATTGCAAATCGGCCACTAGTGGCCAAAATTGCAAATCGGTCACTAGTGGCCAAAATCGCTAGTCTGTCATTTATGGCCAAAAACGGCCACTTCTAACGAAAATCGGAAATCGGCCACTTTTTGCCAAAGTCTTAAATCGGCTGCTAGCGGCTGAAGCCTTTAAACGGCCACTAGTCCCCAAAATATCAAATCAGTCATTGGTGGCTAATTTCTCATGACAGCTATTAGTGTTTAAGTTAGGAAATCGGCGGTTAGTGGAGACGTATACCTTGTGTATGTAACGAGCAACCGTAGGGGGTTACATATTGTCTACAATAATAATGGAGAAATCTCTGTTAGTTCCACCAAAAAAGTTTCCACGAGAAATAATTTTTTTGGCGAGTTTTGCCATTGCCATGATTAAATTTTTAACCCTACATGTAAGAGTTACATTGAAATTGTCTCCTTTTGACTTATGATTACTCAAAACTGTTCACAGAAACCAAATAGCACGGAATAACTCCTTAAATTATGGCCTGAGTGCTTTTCTCGGGAAAATCAGCGAGCGAACGAGACTTAACGCGCGTGAAAGTCATCTGGGAGTCTGCTCTCTCTCTGTTTCTCGCGTGTTACGCTTATACGCCAAGTAGTCTCTGATATGCGTATGGTATTTAGAATTTGTGATGTATTATCTTTTAGACGTCAAAATGATTCTTTTTGAAATAAAAATGGCGTGAAGACTCCTGTGGAAAGCTTGAATTTTTTTTTCTCTGTCATGAGCAATGTAATTTACTCCTTTAAACTACTGCAACCCTTTTTCCCCACGTATCGAACACTGAATGTCCTCGTAGTACACAAAAGGCCTTTTATCTAGACCTCGTTATGGCGTAGCTCGCCAATGTGTTCCCTGTAACTCAGTAGACTACGAACAGTCCTTCCTTTTCGGCGAAGTCCGTCGCGCGAGTCAAATACAAAATAAAGAGAAGTTAGACCGCCGAGTGCAGTTTTGAGAGTGTGGCGCACGAAAAGTAGGGTCTAATAATAATGATAACAATAATAATAATAACAATGATAATAATAATAATGATCATACTTTATTTGACATAATCACTAAAAATCGACAAAAATCATGTTAAAAGGCTTAAAATGTCTGATAAAAATCTAAGAAAAGCTATTGGATACACGCTTCGGTTAGTAACGATGATGACAACAACAATAATAATCATAATAATGCGGTTCTCTAGGATCAGACTCGTATCAGACCCAAACGAACTTTGATAACAAAAACGACCTACATATAAAAATCGCGAAGGCAACTACTAGTTCGTATTAAAAGAATTTCAGAAATAATAATAATAATAATAATGATAATAATACGAGTATTTCCACAGCGCTATTTAAATAGAAATGATTAGAAACACTTTACATTGATTCACCTTGAACACTGTTCTACAACAATCTGAGTACACCACGTAAAATTTAAATTAGACTTACCATAGAATAAAACAAATCAGATTAAATAATTTTGATAAAAAATTAAATAAAATAAATTTCTGGTCTAAAACTGTTAAAGAAAAACCCGACCAAAAGATGGGTCTTAAGATTGCGATTTAAAATTGTCAATGATGGGATAGCACTTAATTCAGCGGGCAAACTGTTCCACAAACATGCTGCTGTGGCATAAAAGGATCTCACACCAAGCGTAGAAAGCATTTTTTTTTCTATTTACAGGCAGCTCCAGTAACAAGGTGCAATTACCTGATAGACTTAGCCTGAGAATTGACGTTTGCGCTGCGCTCACAGCGCAAAAATATGAATATGATATCTTGCGCCCAATCGAAAAAATTATTTTAGGAAACTTAGTGAGAGAGCCTTCATAGATGGATCCTAGTCTACGTTAACACAAGAAGAGACAATCAGCTCTGCTATTAATGGACAAAACACGGAAACTTAGTCTGCTTGATGGTACTCTTCCAAAAATGCCTTTCGTTTAGATTCTGTTTCAAAAATAGGACTCCAAAGGGATCTGACTGAACTTGTTGGGGTCAAAATTCAGCAAGGATACTACACCAAACGCAACAACAGCATCGAACTTCATCATGCTACGTAGATGTACAGCGATAGGTAAACACTGAAGTGATTACATCGACTTAAATAGGGCAAGCGATACAGCAGACCAAATGTCGCAATCTCGGTACGATTACTGGTGACTTTACATCCTGAGGCAAACGATTTAAAGTTTCTTTCTTAGATCATTAAGACAATGAAAAAACATCTTTCATGGCAACAGATTCTTCAATTATACAAAACGAAACGTAAATGATTATTTGTTTGATAGAAGCAACAGGGTATATTTAGCAAGCCGAATATGTTTCTGTTCAAGGCTCTATTTTATCTTAGTTCGAGTTAACATTTCTTCAATTTAAACGTTATATGCACCTCTCTAAAGAGGTTTCCCAACTATGTTAAGAATGAGTCTTCAACCAAAAAACCTCTTTCGTTTTTCGAAGTGAACGAAAGTGTCTCAAGAGCCATTCGATGCTTTTCGCCCCCTCTTACAAAGTCGGAAAACTCATTTGAATTACAAATGATTTTCAAATATTGATATTAATTTCTACGAGCAGTCTTGCACGTGGAAAGAGGCAAGAACTACAAGAAATTTCAGCGTCTTTTTCAGCTTCTCTGGGGCCACGAAACACATCATTTCGACGTTGTAACCTTACATATGGTCCGCTCTGTTAAGTTTGGCGTGTGTTTCTTGACGTTGCTGACCTAGGTGGTTCAAATTCGACGTCGAGGATTCATGGAAGTCATTTTGTCACGATTCTTCTTGAGGTAAATAACCAACGCATAAATACATTTTTGATAGAAGTACAGTGTCCGTGTGTCCCATCGATATCGTCGCCCTAAAAATCATTTTAAATTGGATAGCTGGATGTGAAAAAGGATTAGCTTGTCATACATGATACAAAATATGGCAACTTCTTAGTAGCGGCCGCCATGTCACTTCTTCTTGAGCCACGTGATCATGCGAGCAACAGTGAGAAATCTGTACTTTATTGTTGTCATATTTTGATAACTAATGTATTTATTATTGAATATAGGCTGATAGTTTCTAAAGAAACTGTTCGGAGCTGCGTCGGTGGGGGTAACGAAATAATTTGAATATATCAACAAAGTTGAAATGGTAAATTGGCCACCGTTGCGATTATAAAAGCTGACGTTTCGAGCGTTAGCCCTTCATCGGAGCGAACCCATTCGCTCCGACGAAGGGCTAACGCTCGAAACGTCAGCTTTTATAATCGTAACGGTGGCCAATTTACCATTTCAACTTTGTTGATATATTCAAATTATAATTTATTTATCTCTTTTCATGTCCATACTTTTTATCCATACTTGCCGCATTTTGATATGTATATTTGGCCTCGTAAAGAAAGACTAAGCTTTTTACGGGTTATAGAGTTCAAAATAAACAGTGTTTTCCTAATGGTGGTTATGCACATAATCATAAGCTCTTTCTCGTTTCTTCCCTGGCAGAAAGCGTCAAACATGGAATTAAAGAGCTTCTGGAGATCAGGCAATTCAAGCCAAGATTAAAAAAGGATAACTTCTAACAAGGTTAGTGTTTAATTTCTTTTGAAACGAAGTTCTTTGCATTGCCTGATTGAGTGTTGCCTGCATTAAACACTTAAACCTGGATTTAACAGTCTCCAATTCAAAACATTTGAGAGTCGAAAATAAAGAAAAATTGCAAACAAAGAATCAAATGTAATTTCTTCGATGTCTGATTTCTTAGATATCTTTCTGATTGAACCGCTTTTCAATAGTTTACAGCGTTGTTCATCTCTTTTCTTTCGATGAAAAAGCACTGGTGTCAAAGAATTACCTTTTAGATATCATGACATTATGACCATCTATCGAATACTCCTTTAATTGAGGATCAGGTTACAAAGTGCAGAACGAACTCAGATATCCATTTTATACTTTCAATTGGACGATATTCATCTTTAAAAATTGCACAGGTTTTACAATGCAGAATTGTTTAATCGGTTAGCCTGACACCAAGAAGTTGAGACGGAAAAAAAATCTGTCATATTCTAAGTACTTACATCACCATTACCCAGAATTCTTATAAATCTCTGATAAACAAATCGATCTGATATTTTTCATCGAGATCAGAACAAATTCGTAGAGCCTAGATGCTGAATGTCTTCGTTCTTCAGGTTAAAACTAAAATATGATATGGTCCAAAACTGCCTTTCACTACACGCTAATTTTGTTAAATTCTTCTTATCAAAAAATGAAGCCAGAGTAGTTGAGAGCCTCAAATATCCTGATCGAGGCTAAAATAAATCACATTATCACCAAAATGTATATCTCTCCCAATCTTTTTTCCTCTAGAACGCTGTTACGATTTCTGATGGGCGTAATGGTCTCTTCAGTTAAAAAGGAATTGTTTGGTTTCATAAAAACGGTACTTTCTGAGCCCCTGTGGTTAGGTGTCTCAGCTTTTGAAGTAGAAAACAAATGCATGTTCTCTAAAAGTTCAAATTTTTTTAAAATTATTTTCAATAACTATTTTCCATATATCGGATAGACTCAATAGTTCTGATCTTTTTGTTTTCATGTCGTTCAATTAAGGTAATTTCCTTCATTTAATAATAATCTTCGCCTGAATGCTACAGTTAGCCATGTTAACACCAAAATAAAAATTATCTTACAAAAGAGATATATTTTTTTGTTCATAGTTTACCGCGAACTGAAAAAAACCTTTTTGCTTTTTATTTAACAAGGCCTTTAGCTCTTGAGACTAAGATTAAACTCAAAGTAATATTTCCCATAAGAAGAGATTTCTCGAAAAGATGACATCAAATTTTCGAAATATTTTTTATCATCATCATTATTATTATTATTATTATTATTGTTATTATTATATGTAATATTTATACCTTAATTATGATCATTATAATTATTATAAGAAGTGTGTATCCATGAACTTTTTCTGGGATTTTTACTGGACATTTTCACGCATTTGTTTTCGATTTTTAAGCATTTCATCATAATTTTTGTAAATACTTTTGGTGATTATAGTGAATAAAAGTTATATTATTATTATTATTATTATTATTATTATTATTATTATTATCAATATCAGTAAGGAACATAGTGGTTAGAATTCTTCACAACAATTGATGATTCTTTCTTGGTCCAAAAATTGTTATTATCATATTACTTTCCTGTGTTGCATCAATTTTTTAAAACTGGATACTCTAATGATCTTTACCGAAAGAGGTATTTTGACAATTGACAATTTTTATTCCTTGGTCTTTTTACATAAAATAAAAGTGGGATAGTTTACCCCGCAGATAGCTAGAAAGCTAATCGTGGCGGGGCAAGACAAGTACCTGAATAACTGTTTTCCGTATTCAGACAGCACATTAGGAGCAAACACAACAGCCAAATTACCGGGTATCTAGGGACAAGGAGTCGTTACTTACACAATAAGACTTAATTTTAAACTTAGAAGGTGTATCTATGTATCTACTTTTGTAATGATCATGGGGGTTTGAATATAGTTATGATATCAAATAGCAATTTTGGAAGGACTTTCTTGAATATGAGTGCCCCACTGAAAACCGCCATGGCGAGTTGGGCTCCCTCGTTAAATATTATTATTATTATTATTATTATTATTATTATTATTATTATTACTATGAAAGCTTTCTTTGGGAGATCCGTTATACAGCTTGGTATCTTATTCCACAGCTTTACTCCGATCCGAGAGAAGAAATCGTTTTGTATTTCTAGTCTGGAAGTTTTAACATAAAACTTTCCAGACGTAAACCATCGTGTATTGTATGAATGAATATTAGACGTTTTCTTATATAGATTTAGTATGTTTGCTGAGGCTTTATCATTATTGATATTGTGCATTAGGGTTGATACGGACTATGTCTGCTATAAGAAATAAAGGAATTGCATGTCATGTTAGTCTGCGAAGTACAGCAGACGAAGGGCTCTTTTCTGAAGAATAAGAATTTTGTTAAGATAAGTCTTGCGTGCCTGACCCCAGGCGCTCAGCAAGACCATAGGTTCAATAAATATATCTTATTTACCAAGCGCGAAGGCCGTACTGGGAGAATATCGGCCCGAGGTCTTGACAGTACGGACCGAGCGCCGATATTCTTCCAGTACGGTCCCGAGCAAGCTTGGTTAATAAG